GATGTATAGCTTTCTCCTAGAGTAACAGATATTCAAGTTGCATTTCTTGATGCAGCAGCAGACTGTGGTAAATGACAGTGGTTTTCTGAAGTACTCCTGAGCCCATGTGACTATATTTAACACCGCAGCTTGACGGTTTCTTATGCAATGCCATTTGAGGGCTCAAAGGTCAAGCACATTCAACTGAGGTTTCCTGCCTTGCCCTACATGTACTGTGATTTCTCTGGATTCCCCAAATCTTTTCACAATATTATGTATGGTACTCGGTGAAAGACCTAAATTCTTTGCAATTTTGCATAGTGAAATGTGATTTTTGATTTGTTTGACACTTCTCTCGTGAAATTTGGCACAAAGTGATGAGCCATGATCCAGCTTTGCTGGCAAAGACTGAGATGCTCCTTTTATACCCAAACATGATACCTTGACCTATTACCAATTCACCTGCTTACTGTGAACGGTTTCAAAACAGTTTATCGTGGATATTCTATAACCTTTTCACTTTTATTTAGCCTCTGTCCCAACTTTTTTGGAATGTGTTGCTAGGGCTGTCGCGATAACCGCAATATCGCAATACTATTGACGAGCAAACCGCATTATGCCCTTCTTGTTTTACGCTTCATGCATGTGGACTGAATATTAAACAAGTTAGTAATTATAACATAATGTGTACCATGCTGATTTGTACAGAGGCTCCGTAGATTTGCAAGCCTAAACATTAGCTGTCATTATCATATATTCTGTTTTAATTTTAAAGTTTTAGTGATTTTGCATTGTTGTCATTTTTATTAGTTTTCTCTTTTTTTTAAACATGCCTATCTAGTTTATTAATTTTTATTTCAGTTTTAGTTATTTTACTGCCTTAAGTCAAACTAAATAAAAACGAGAAATGTTGCCTTGGCAATTAGCTGAAATTAGACAAATTTTAATAATAAGGTATATTTTATTTCAAATAATAAAATAAATATATTATTTCAAATAATAAAATATATACATACATATATATATTTGTATTTATTTAAACAATATTTTTTAACACAATACATGTCATTAATGTGGGTGGAATATGTGCTTACTTGTCATGAAAGTAATGCAATAATGCAAAATATAATTTCTTTCTTTCTTCTTTTGATTCTGCGGTGAAATATGACCTGGGTGTTTTTTCGTGAGATTCAACCACAACAGCCAACGTAAAGTACATCTGAAAGTCTCTTAATGCAGATAATTTCACAGAGGCCAGCGTGACCAATCGCTAATTTGTGCTCAATGTGATGTTAACTTTGGTTTGGCCTTTCAAGGCAACTGCAGTTGGTAGAATAGGAGGAGGGCGGAAGTTACTGGTGGAGATAAGATTGTGGTCAGGCAGATTAGTCGAATAAACAGAGCGCTGATCCTCAAACAACACACAGCAGGATCAGGTGGAAACCACATTCCACATTGTCCTGTGTATTATGTGGCCAAACATATGGCAATGTTTCTACTGAAACAGCAGAAGGTGAGCCGCTACACCTTGAAAACAGATTTGTAAGAATTAAATAATTTTTTTTTTAAACACCAGTTGCCTGGTGTTTTGTTGCCAGTCAATTTATAAACATATACAAGACACAATACAATAATTATGAATCTGACTAGAACTTTTTAGTTTTGAGGTTTTAAGTTTGAGATTATTACATTTAATTTTTGTTTTTGTAAATGTGATATACAGGTGCATCTCAATAAATTAGAATGTCGTGGAAAAGTTCATTTATTTCAGTAATTCAACTCAAATTGTGAAACTCGTGTATTAAATAAATTCAATGCACACAGATTGAAGTAGTTTAAGTCTTTGGTTCTTTTAATTGTGATGATTTTGGCTCACAAGTTTCACAATTTGAGTTGAATTACTGAAATAAATGAACTTTTCCACGACATTCTAATTTATTGAGATGCACCTGTATATATATATATATATATACAGTATATATTTGAGCAAACATGTAAACAAAACATTTATATTTATTTTGAACATTATACACTACCATTCAAGAATCTGGGGTCAAAAAGATTTTTATTGAATACTTTTATTCAGCAAGGATGTGTTAGATTGATCAAAAGTGACAAAGACAATTCTGATGTTACAAAAGATTTGTATTTCAAATAAATACTTTTGAAATAATTATTTTGAACTTTCTATTATTCATCAATAAACCCTGAAAAGTTATATCACAAAAATATGAAGCTGAAGCAGCACACCTGATTTCAACACTGATAAATTTTTTTTCTTGTTTAGCAAATCAGCATATTGTGATTTCTGAAGGATCATGTGACACTGAAGACTGGAGTACTGATGCAAAAAATTCAGCATGGCATCACAGGAATAAATTACATTTTAAAATATATTCAAATAGAAATATATTTTTTTAAATTGTAAAAATATTTCACAATATTAGTGCTTTTACTGCATTTTTGATCCAATAAATTCAGCCTTGGTGAGCATAGGAGACTTCTCGTGAAAAATATTGACAACCCCACATCTTTGAATGGTAGTATATATATATATTGCTGCATGATTTAAGCTACCTTTTTGTGAGATGTTTAGCTTGAAAAGTTAGCTTTTTATTAGAAAAACATTCCTCGCCAGTCCAAAATAAAGTCCTCACCAGTCAAGAAACTCCCAAATAATATCCCGCTGTCATGTTTAATGGATCTTTAGAGACACGCTAAATTGAAGTGAATGAATTACCCTGTGAAACCCGATTTAGTGGTTTGTACTCACTAACTTCAGTTTCACAATCTGTTTTCTGCATGAAGAACAATCTTGATTAGATCTTGAAACTCAAGCTTGGAAACTTGTAAAACATCTCATGGTTTGAATTATCACTGTGCTCCAAGAATCCATTGTCCCAGCTTTGAGTTCTTGCCTTTTATTGAAGAATGGAATCCATTTCAGATATGTGATTGCTTTCCTGAAGAGAGAAGAGACAATAAATCATTTTTAAGAGACTGTTAACTTGAACACTCCTATGGTACGATGTGTGAGCGTTTGATGATTTATAAACTGATATGTCAAGTTGTTTTTAAGAACATATTCCCTACTCTCATGGTCTCTGGTTTTCTGACCTTACAATATAATTTCCATTTCTCATATAAATGTCTTCCCACCTCTATCCATACATCTCTTACCATGTCTTCGTCACACTCCTTGTGTGAGTGCTCCTCTCCGTCCTCCACATCACTGTGCTGCAGTTCCTCTGACTCTGAGCCCGACTCGTCCTGAGACAGCTCGCTCTTCATTTCCTCTGCCTTCTGCAACTCTGCACACAGACAAATGTTTATTTACATTTACATACAATACATTAACGGTTATAAAACGGTTATTCCATATATGTAGTAAGGTTTCACAAAATAAAACAGAGCAAATGAAGTGCATGGGAAAGTGTGTTGCTGTAACTTGTCATCAGACTTTTTAATCCTGTAATGCCTGACATATAAAATAATAGTCTGAAAATTGTCTGTCCATTTCTAATTATTCTTCTGACATTTGATTATTCTAGTTAACTCTTTACTCTATATTTTACTTGTTCATTAGGAATCTATGTCGCTCAGAGTGTGTTGTGTTGCGATTAACACGGACCTCATGCTCACAAACTCTCCGTCTGATCATTAGTCACTACTATTTAATAGACCGTCTCATGCTTGTCATTCTTTAAATAGTGGTTCTGTTTAGTCCCCTACTGTACAGTCACCTATGTAACAACTTAGTTAAAGCTCAATGGTTAGTACTATGAAATAGACCAATCAATGCTTGCTAATACTTCAATAGCATTTTTATCTAGCCCTCTATAGTTAATATAACTACTGCATATAACAACTTAAACAAAGCTGAGACGACAGCCAGAGGTTATGGCTAGTACTATGAAGTATGCTGAGCCATGCTTACTAGTACCCCAATAGCATTTTGTCATAGTTAAAGGATTAGTTCACTTCCAGAAAAAAAATCCTAATAATTTACTTACGTCATCCAAGATGTTCAAGACTTTCTGTCTTTAGTTGCAAAGAAATTACGTTTTTTGAGGAGAACAGCTCTACCCGATCCCAGCCGAGGAATAAGGGTCTTATCTAGAGAAACGATTGGTCATTTTCTAAAAAAAATTTAATAAAAATGTATATACTTTTTGTCCACAAATGCTCATCTTGCACTAGCTCTGCGATGCATGTCTGTAACTTCACGCATTACGTAATCACGTTGGAAAGGCCAGTTTTTTGAGAAGAACAGCTCTACCCGATCCCAGCCGAGGAATAAGGGTCTTATCTAGAGAAACGATTGGTCATTTTCTAAAAAAAAATTAAATAAAAATGTATATACTTTTTGTCCACAAATACTCATCTTGCACTAGCTCTGCGATGCATGTCTGTAACTTCACGCATTACGTAATCACGTTGGAAAGGCCACGCGTGGTTTGTTCTTCTTCGTTTGTGTACTCCAGTTCAAAAAGTTACGGTAGGGTGAAAAACTCATCTTCTCATTTTCTTCTCCAACTTCAAAATCATTCAACATCACTGTTTTTCCTTCTTTTTTTTTGTAAAGGGCGTTTGACTTTCTTTGCACGTTTGCTTTGTTTAAAAAGTACAGAACTTTTTATTTTTTTTAGAAAACGACAGAGAAAAGACCCTCATTCCTCGGCTGGGATCGTGTAGAGCCCTTTGAAGCTGCATTGAAACTGCAATTTGAACCTTCAACCCGTTGGCCACTATTGAAGTATATGGAGAAAAATCCTGGAATGTTTTTCTCAAAAACCTTAATTTCTTTTCAACTAAAGAAAAAGACAAGAACATCTTGGATGAAATGTGGGTGAGTAAATTATCAGGAAATTTTTATTCTGGAAGTGAAGTGAACTAATACTTTAATGCAAGTCAAGCAGTTAGCCTAGAATCTCACCTGATATGCCCCATGCTTCATCTAACCTGAGATCTAGTATGTACTTGTCTTAACCCTGGATGCAGATTTGTGGAAACTAATTAATCAACTTGAGAAAATAATTTCCGAAATTTTCCGAAATTTTCGCACGTTAAAAAATAAATACGACCTCACGTTATGTCAATCACGTTTACACACTGCCTCCAAAATTTTTGTCTGTCATAAAAAAAATTCGGATCGGGTTCGATTTTTTCTGTTTTTCGCATCCGTAGCAAGCATTTTGAGAGGTGTTTTGACAGTTCAGTACCACCGTACAAGCGAATAGAATGGCGATTGTCCAGTTCATCCACTTCGTCTCGCAGCACAAAGCACTGTAAAGATCCTTGCACACTGAGTTCACAGAAATTGGTGGTCGTCTTTTTAATATGTGGCTCTAGTATCGCTAGCAAAGCATCAAACTGAGCCACTGACATCCTGAAGTAAACTTTGAATCGCCCGTGATAGTCCCGCTGCTCCTGAGGGGGAACTCTTCCTTCCTCTCTATCTCTCAGGATTGGATGGACCCAATATTTCCTCTCTTTTTCTCTTTTTAAGAAGCGAGAAGACAACAAAATCATCCTCACTGCTTGAAGACTCCATTTAGTGCTGTTTAGCTAATTTTTTCGCAACTGATTAATTAATACGCTTCGGACTCAGTGTGCAAGGTTTCTGTGCATGACAAATTTTTATAATAACGAATACGAAAAAACGCACACTAAATTTCGGACTCAGTGTGCAGAGACCTTAAGAGTAAATAATATCACATTAATCTGGACATATTTCAAAACAACATTTCTGTTAACAAAACGCTCTCCATCCACACTAGCATTTTCCAAAAGTTGCTCGTTCACACTGACACATCTGGAAACGCGTAAATAAAATGTCATAAAAAAACGCACACGAAAATTTCGGACTCAGTGTGCAGAGACCTTAAGAGTAAATAATATCAAATGAGACAATTTATTATTAGTCAGGTAAAATGAATTATACCAATTACGTAGTCAATTCAGAGATAATCAAAACAAGACATCAAATTCTCAAGGATAAATGTAAGAGTAAAGGATGCGTGTGTGGACTTATCTGGCTACAGAAGCGCCCTGAGCTTCTTGCATCATTTCCTCACTCAGACCAAGACAAACATCCTCCAAATGGAGACAGGAACTAACAATTAGAATTTGCATTGATCAGGCCTTGGAGAGATTATACCATTTGGGGACAGATGGTAATTTGCATGAAAGACACTGGGGAAGAGCACACCCTCTACAGCGAGCAAAATATCTCTAAACTCTTAGGATCTTTATTACTTTTAGTCTACTTCTTGTAAAACCGAGACCATTGAACCCAGTCGCATGGAGATATTTCAAATGGCTGTGAATATCGCTTACATTCATGTAGAACATTATATTATGCTTTTGACCATTCTGAGTGAACTGAGTGAAGAGAAGGATGGGTGAGGGAAAGGATAGCTGAGAAAGGAGCTTTCCTGCATCTTCTCTCAGTGAGATAATACACTGTTTTTGTATTGTCTGTATCTAAAGGAAATCAAAGTGTCTGAGGTTCTTCAATTATATATCTTAGGAAGATGATATTTAAATGCTTAGGTATATGATCAAAGCTATTTTTATTGTGGGGAGCAAAACATATAATGACATACATACTTGACTTGATACAATTTACCATGATTTTTTATTGATAATCAAGAAAACACTTCAGTTCAGTAAATATTAATCTTGAAATACTGCTAACAAGATGGACATTTTTACAATTACAGACTAATGCTTATGCTAAAAATGATTGTTTTAAATAAAACAAAGATGATTAATTATTACAAGAAAAAATGTGTTAGGGATTTTCTGTTCTCTCCAGCATTGGCGAACCACGGTCCGAATTGAATTCTCACATCCTAAACAACCAAGACACCTCTGTAGGGACACGTTTCAAGAGCAGACACGTGAAAAAACATTGCCAAGGTAAAGAAAAACTTGGAGCTCACTTTTATTTACGCAACAGCCCAGTTGAAAAGTTACGAGATGAGTAAGTGCTAGTCGACTTTCCTCCCTCACGAGGGCTTTTAAAGCATCTCATCCTCAACAGTCAGCAACACTTGCAAACATGCACAGAAATGTGCTTCGCTCTGGGGGGACATCATCATTGATTAGCCACAAACCATTAGCCACATCATAACAATTCTTAGACAGACGATGAAGGAGAATGAAGCGGGTTTCCGTGTCTAAATAAACACGGGAGGCATGTTGCGTTCTGTGGTAATGCTTGTCAAATTGACCGCTGATGTGAAACACTGGGACAAATCTGCAAATCTGGATTGGAGCCACTGAGCCGTAAAAGTGTTGAACTGTGAACGGCTCGTGTGACGGCGGCGGTGCTGTGCTGAGTCAGCGCTTTGTGCGGAGCGTAAACTGCTTGCTGCGGTTTCCATATGATTAAAAAAGCCCTTTGAAAGCTTTTCTCAAAAAATAATTACTGAGAGGAAGGTATAACAGGCATATTTTGATGAAATAATTTCTAATAGAATACAACCTTGATTTATCACCGAACAACCAGGCTTGTATAGTACAGAATAATACAGTATTGTGTGCATACCGTATATACTGTATATGCATTAATGTTCAAATGTTTGGAGTCAGTTTATTCAGCAAGGACGCATTCAATTTATTAAAAGTGACAAAAACTTTTACATTGTTACAAAATATTTCTATTAAAGTAAATGCTGTTCTTTTGCATCCTGAAACAAATGTATCATGGTTTCAACAAAAATATGAAGCAGCACAACTAAAATATAAAACAATATTATATAAAAGTATAAAATATAATTTAGACTTTTCTGAAACACTATTGTAATCCACTGTATATATATCAAAGTATTATGGTATTATCCAGAGTTGTTATCATTTCCTAAAACTAAAAATAAAAACGATTAATATTTTTTGCTTAATATTTTTGAAACTAATACTTTTTTTTTTGGGATTCTTTGATGAAAAGAAAGTTTAAACGAATGACATTTATTTGAAATAGAAATCTTTCGTATTATTATAAATGTCTTCAATTTAATGCATTCTTGCTAAATAAATGCATTAACTTCATTAGCCAAAAAAAATAAAAAATCTTACTGACCCCAAACGTTGGAACGGTGTTGTATGTTTGTGTGTATGGCACATATACAGATATATGACACATAAGATCACACCTGTGGCACAGTATTTGTCCTCTGTGATCTGGTCGAGACGTCCCAGCAGCGCGTCGATGTTGGACTTGATCTGCGTCAGTTCTGATTTGATAGCCTGCAGCTCGGTTGATTTCACTGCTCGCAAGTACACACAAGATTTACAAAAGAACACAAAGTTTTAGATGAATAAATCAGGTTTATATATTGCCATTAAACCAAAAACAGAAATAAAAGCAAGGCACTGGTAATTGGTTGTGGATCTATAAAGGAGCACTGCCCAAGACAAAAGGTTCCTCTGCTGCAGTATTGCAAACATCCTAAATCATAAACCTGGCATGTTAATCTGTCAAATGGCCCAAAGGCCGGTTCAAGAGTTCAAGCGGTCCACAAATCATCTCAGCGCACTGAATCTGAAGAAGATCTTGAGATGTCACGCAAAAGAATCAGGCTACAACTCTGGACATTTCTTAACTATCTTAAAAGATCTTTTGATGTTTCAGCATTCAACATACAGTATGTGTAGGTCAGTAACACGTGAAACGTCAAGAAAACTGATGCAAAATAGAAACTGAACTTACACTTGTGTTTGACAGAGCTGTTGGGAAGGATAGTGGATCTGGTCAGGAGTTTGACAGGTAATGACTTCACCCTGCGGACGACCGGCACTGCCACACGGGGGCGCTTTACTGGAACCGCTCTGGGCACCGGTGATACTCTGCCTCGGTACTCAAACAGTCTGGAGGCAGAAAGAGAAGTATGAAGAAACTAACTGCTTCATGCAACCACATGACTTCGATCAGTGAGTTTATAGGTCATGCTCAGGAAACTGCAGTGTTTGTGACTTTTCATTTAATGTTATTTTTTTCCAAACCAATCCACTTAAATCAGAAATCATATTTTCCCATCTCAGGCCCAAAGTAAACACCAAAAATACTCAGGGACCACCACAGGGCTGCGTTTTAGAATCAGAAATCAGAATCAGAAAGAGCTTTATTGCCAAGTATGTTTACCCGTACTAATAAAAAATAGAAAAAAAAGAGATAATAAAAATAGAATAAGTGAATAAAAAATTAACATATATAAAAATATATAAAAACACAATATACAAAATAGACATTTGCCTTATTTTAATTTAATTATAATTTAATAATTTGCACACTAAATCCATACTCCGGAGCGCTATTCAAGGTTTAGTGTATCCCATCATGCATCATGTTAGGGGAATAAATCTTGAGATTTTTGCCGAGATCTCGCCAGAGGTCACAGAAACCTTTTAATGTAGGCTAAATATTAATCTAATAATTAGATAGGGCCTATTATTACACATACTTTGGTAGAAAAACAAAGTGTTGCACGTTTTATTGGTGCAAAGATGAGTAGTGGTGATATTTATTTTGTACAACATTTGCAACTGCTTTTCATACTTAATTAGGAAGCACCACAAATTAAATTGTGTCATGTTATAGGGACTACTGAACAGACATTTAGAAGTTGATTTTACAATGCACAGTATTTAAAATAAAATAAAACTATGTAGACACTTGCATTTTTACAACACTGTAAATGTGTCCCATCAGGTAATGAAAAGTTCTACACACACTTGTGGTCTTCATCCTCACTTGAACACTTGGGCCAAATACAGGAAATACGTCATAGAAGTAGTCAAGTGGTCAAGTGCAAAAACCGCAAGTGTGGGTATTTGGTCAAGGGCAGAATATGTATGTACAGATAAATGCAAATGCAAGGGACATGTAAATATGCAAATGCAAGTTTCTCTGCAATATTCAGATAAGCGGTCAACATATGTTAGTTTTTTAATAATGTATTCTATGACCACCAATCCAACATATGTGAGAATGTCAGAAATATAAAACCATTATGTTAAAAAACAAATTCCAAAAATGCAGCATGTTTAAAGAATTTTAGAAAATACATAAGTATATAGGCTAATTATAATAAAATAAAAATAATTATAATACTATATAATTAACACTTCCATAATTTTACATTGTATATTTAATACTTTTTTCGAAACACTTGTTGTTATCCATTGTTGTTATCGTTTACTAAAACTAAAGCTATAATTATTAAAAATAATATAAATAGAGATAAATATGAAATAAAATAAAATATAAATATTACATGAAAAACTTAAATGTAACTTATAAATGTTGTACATTTTAATGACTAAAATGACTAAAACTGAAACAAATAAAGCGTATCAGAAATATATATATATATATAAAAAAAAAAGAAATAAGAAAATGAAAACTTAAAATATGAACATAAAAGCTAATTCAAAATCTAAATAAGTGCTACAAAAGTACATAACACTGGTATTATCTTCTTTTTTTGAGGTCTTTTTCTTCTTTTTGTAAGGTCATTTGTTTGGTAAACTCTTGGATGGATTTTGCCCATCAATTGTAGAAGTGTGTTCATGTATTGTTGGAGAAAACAAGAGTAAAGTGCGATCTTTGAGTCATCTTACGATCAGAGCATACCTGCTTTGTTATTTGTACCTGCTACCCATCCATCATACATCAACTCCTCACGAACAGAGCGGGAGATGCACTCTGCCGACTCAAAGGAGCTCAACCGCTCCATCTCATAGCATAAACCGACAGCGTATGTCTTTGCATTGTGGCTAAATCAGCTGAAATGAGGCCAGAAGCCAACAGTTCGCAATCCAAGTCGATCCTAGAGCTCTACTGTCAGGGATGAAGGAGGTGATGTGGCATGAATGAATGAAGTGAGAGAAGAAGATACTTTTGCCTTCAAAGAGAAGCACGTCTGCTGCCCAGACAGGAACCTAAAAGCAACCAGCTGGCTTCCCACATGCCATCTACGCGGCTTCACCGACTGATCCGCAATCCTAGAGATCTAAATCATCTGCTAAATGACTAAAAGTAAAAAAAAGTAAAAGTAAATTATTGGATATGTTTGCTGTAAAATATCGACTGCAGTCAGCATCGCTCCAAAGATGGCTGTAAGTCAGGGAGCAGAGATCACAAGAGAGATATCAATAAACATGTCAGCTCATCATATGGACGCAATATCCCTTACATCTGCAAACAAGTACGTCCAGCTGAGTCTCGCAGCAGGGTTTCCATAGCTACCGAAAAGGGACGCCGGCCAACTGCGCGCTCGCCGAGCCAAAGTTTGCTTAACGGGTCTTGGAGGGAGTTCTTGTGAAACGCATTTTTTTTCATCTGCCTTTCTTTCTGCAGCTTACAGCTGTGTGTGTGAGTGTTTTTATGAGGGTTCCTTTAATTCTGGCAAGTTGTGAGAAAATGTATTATGACAGGAAGAGCCGTGCTAGAGAGAGAACAGTGTGCCTGACTTCATTATAAGTCACTGCTGTGTTACTGCACTAAAAAACGCTCCATGCTGGGTCAGTGGATTTCAGCACGAGCAAAATGTGCTTCTGTACTCAATCAGTATACTATAGGTATTTTTATTTCATAAATGGATTTTATTTCTTTAGTGTGACACCTAATGCATGACAACGTTTTTCAGCAAATAGTCTCTTTCCATTCATCAAAGAATCCTGAAAAAAGGTATCACATTTTTTTTTTCAATAATCGCATTACAATTATTTTCAACATTGATAATAAGAAATGTTTCTTGAGCAGCAAATCAGCATATTAGAATGATTTCTGAAGGATCGTGTGACACTGAAGACTGAAGTATTGATGCTGAAAATTCAGCTTTAACATCACAGGAATAAATTACATTTGAAAACATATTCAAATAGAAAATAGTTACTTTAAATTGTAATAATATTTCACAATAGGCCCTATTACGGTTTTTACACTGTATTTGTCCAAATAAATGCTGCCTTTCTTTCTTTCATTCAAAAACAGTAAAAAAATCCCAAAGGTTTTAACAGTAGAGTAAGTTCTAGATGACCACAATGTTCATAAATGAAGAAACAGAAGTCTGATAATATGCATATTGAATGTTAACAATGGCTTCCAGATATATAGTTAAATGGCTATAAATTAGCCATTTTATAATCAGAAATAATGGAAAATTTGGTAACACTTTACTTGAAGGGGTGTGCATAAGACTGACATAACACCTTCATAATCATGACATGACACATGTCATGAATATGAAGGAGTTTTTATGCATGTTTATGACAGCTGTCATTAAGTGTCATTCGCTCAGTTATGTCATTTTTAATGCAAAGATGACATTGTTTGACCTAACCCTAACCCAACCCTACCCCTAACAAAGACATCTCAAACAATGTCATCTTTGCATTAAAAATGACATAACTGAGCGAATGACACTTAATGACAGCTGTCATAAACATGCATAAAAACTCCTTCATATTCATGACATGTGTCATGTCATGATTATGAAGGTGTCATGTCAGTCTTATGCACACCCCTTCAAGTAAAGTGTAACCGAAAATTTCCATTTATTACAAGTGGTAAAAAAAGGTAAAAAAAAAAAGGATTGTCCATCATTATTACATACCCTGCTCTGCAAGGGTGCAAACACAAACGAATGGTGATACAAACAGTGAAACACTGCTTGGCTAGTCAAATTAAAGGACAAGGACTGTATACTGGCATATTATTATACCTGGACTGTGAATTTATGCATTCTGGATGTGACTTTAGAGCATTTCCTGTATTTCAACAAAATCATTTGTGCAAAATCATGGACTCACCTGTCATAGAAGTCATCTCTGTAGTAATCATAGTCAAAATCATAACCGCTGCAGGGATTAAACACAAAATGTTATTATTTTAAATATAGGTGATTCACAGGATTAAAAAAAAAAAAACGACAAAAAACAAACCCAAAAAAAAACGTAAATTTCAACTTTGCTAGACAAAAAGCAATTGAGCCTTTACATCATTGAAAAGCAACAACAACAACAACAAAAAACACTACATGTCACACTATACAGGGCAAGTTGTCAGTGCAAACATGCAATTTACACGTCATACTTTTATTTGAAATGCCAAAATTAATCTAAAATATAAAAGCCACTAAAACACACTTCAGTGCAAAAGTTATAGGTTGGTAAACTTTTTAATTTATAACTTTTTTTTATCTAATTTATTCCTGTAAGATGAATTCTCTGCATCATTACTCCAGTCTTCAGTGTCACATGATATTCAGAAATCATTCTAATATGCTGGTTTGCTGCTCCAGAAACATTTCTCATTATGATAAATGTTGAAAACACTTGTGTTGCATGGTTTTGTAGAAACCATGATTTTTTAATGACTCTTTGATGAATAGAAAGTTCAAAAGAACCACATTTCTTTGAAATATATATATTTTTGTAATATTATAATAAATGTCTTTACTCTTACTTTTGATCAATTTAATTCATCCTTGCTGAGAATTACTGACCCCAAATTTTTGAATGGTAGTGTATTAAATACACAATATTCAAAAGCCTTTCTTAGCAATATTTAAGTAGTGAAACAATTCTAAAACATGAAAAACGAAAAGGTAACAGAAAAATATCAAACCACTGTTTTGGTCAAAACAGACTCTTGCACATGTGACAACTTACCCCGGTCTCTCCTATACAGTATCTAAAATGTGTTGCAAGCTAAATATGTTGTTGAGTTGGTTAATAATACACTCTACTCTCATTCTGCAATCACCTGTATAACGTCGCTGCGGTTCTCTTTAGTCCTTTAGGCCTGCTGGGTTTGGGTTCACCTGCCATGTTAATGTCTGTGAACAGAAGCGGAAAACACGCATTCAATCTAAAGTTTCATTTTATAAAAAGCAGATTTAAAAAAGTGCACAGAGTAATTACATGACATACGTATTAAACAATGACAGATGGAAGAAGCCTTTCAAAGTGACATCTGCAGCTCTTTGATAATTGTACGTTACCGGGTGCACTTGAGGCTGTTATCTAATGACTCTGTAATTATCATGGTGAACTGACATTATGGACACTTGTCCTCAAGTGGGAGTGCTCTGATTTGCATAACCACACGCTCGATGCGTCCACCAGAGGGCACTCGACACCCACGCAACCGGCCCAGAAAGATCCGGCGTCTATGCTCTTTCCCAGCACACTCCAGCCTCCAGAGTCTCCTTGGCTTCCACTTTATGACAGGAGGAGAAGCAGAAAGAGAATAATGGATAGCCGTGAAACAATGGAAGACATGCCTCTTGTCACCCGATTTCATATTTCCAAAACTCAAGCGAATACAGAGGTGAGCTTTGAGACAGCGAGAGGCGCCAGGGTTTGAGGGGGAGCTGTCAGCCGTGATGATTTCCTTCAGCTCCGGGACCGATTGGCCAGCGGGGAACGAGTGGGGCCGCGTGAGTGACAGGTCACACCGGGGCTGTCAAGTGGAAGCCAAAGGCTCCGTGGAGCGCGAAACAGCGGCTAATCTGACCGCCCCAAAAAACACGTATGTCATCAAGCAGCTGCGGAGGGCTGGAGGGCAAACGAGAGACGGACAAACAAAGATTGGAAGCGAAGGGACAGAGATCGAACTGAATCGAGGAGAGATAGAGACATAAAAGGTGGAAGCGAGCAAATGAACAACTGTCTGATGTCCTCAGCGTGACACGAACACCTGCCGCTGACACACCTGTCCTGCTTCTCGTTTATCTGAGGGGGGCGGGGCATCAGCGGTCGGTTGCCCGGATACCAGCACAGCTGAGAAACCAATCAGTGTCTAGAGGTCACCTCGTAGAGGACGCACCATTACTGGCTGGTATGATGAGGCTTAAAACAACTTGATAACTGAAATAGCGCGGTGATCATACGACCCCACATTGACTGACTGTTATTCACTTGAAGTGGCACACGCTAAAGACGTACATATATAGATTTCACGGAACCTAGCTAGTGTGTACTCTAGGGCATGATAGGAATTGTTTATTGAGTTTCTCTGAACACTAAGGCTGTGTTTAGTATAATATGTGAATATTATATGTGCAAAATGTGAAGTGTACCACAAAGCATATGCCACAGAATAATATATCGCATAATGCAATGCACTTAATGTGACTTTTCATTTCTAGAGTGATTATTGAACCGTAACATCCACTGTCCAATAAATATTTGTTTTTAAATAAATACATATTATTATTATTATCATCATATTGTAATTTTAAAAATATTTTTACATTTCCAGTTATATAATATTAATTATATTTGTATTATTTTGCAGTATTTAAATAACAACAACTATTATTATTATACATATCTACTATATACTATAATGTTATTATTATTGTTGTTGTTATTTTGTTATATTTATATACTTGTAATAATAATAATAATGACCATGTGTGTGTGTGTGTTATAAGTAACTGTTATAACTTCTGTTTGTAATGTTTATCATTGCATACATACTATTTCACAAACTATTTTTAAAATATAGTTGGCAGTATCCTGTAATCAGTATGCTATTATTTTCTGTCTAAACACATGCACACTGATCTCCTGGCATAGTACATGCTAACAAAATTCCCTCTAGTAAGTGCCCTACTTTTATTACAAAACAATGATCAGTATAAGTGCTCAACAACTACATGAAAAAGCGCAATACAAACTTAAAATTCACTGAGGTCAAGAACCCCGAAGAGCGGAGAATGGCACTGATGTCACATTGGCCTCCTTATAATGTTGATCTACTTGCTCTGCACTATATTGACCTCGCTTTGACCCCGTCACAGTGATGGCCACAGGAAACTGTCATCAATAGATATTAATCTTAACTGCTTCAGTGTCATGGGGCTCGCTCTTGGCAGCAGTCATAGCACATGCAAACCAAACACTCTACGGGGCGCTTAAAAAGTCCGTTCGCTCCTACAGCAAGTGTTGTGCACTCTTTTTAACCTTGGAGAGATGATATTCAGATGTGATATATAACACATATATACAATTCATATTATTGTCCAACTCACCGAGGGTCTGTCCAGCAAGCACACGTCCATTTTCTCCAATGACGGCTCCACGAGCGTGTCTCTCATTAGCGTACTGAACGAAGGCGAAGCCTTTGTGAACCGAGCAGCCCAACACACGGCCGTATTTGGAGAAGATCGTCTCGACGTCGCTCTTCTTCACCACCGCTGTGTTCAGATTGCCGATAAACACGCGTGAGTTGATAGATTTGGGGTCATTTTTGTTGGTAATGTTGCTCGTCTGGACTTTCAGCGACATCTTGGTTCAAATGTGAACAACAATCTGGAGAAGAAACAAATCACATACGTTTAGACCAATCGCTGTATAAGTAGGTACATTCTGGATACTGTGAAATGAACAAACCATATTCCTAACTGAAACAGACAAAAACTCTGCATAGATTTCTTAAAAAAGATGACTTAAAACAACAAGCCATGAGCAGTGTTACAATTACTTTAGTGATTAAACTTCCCTTAATTGTATAAAATCAGAAAAATTTAAACAACAGATGAATAGTTAAACTGTTTATTTTCAACAAATTCAAATAATAATAATACATATTATGATTCATTATTATTAATAATTATTATTAGTAATAAAAATGTGTGTATTATTAGTATTTATTATTAACATGATCTTAAAATGATTATTTATATGTAATATTAATCATTATTAAAAATGTAATATAAATTATTCATATTCTGGTAAATTATTTATATAAATTAATATGAATAATATGAATAAGATATTTATTTAAACAAGGTTTATTATTATTATTATCAAAATATTATATATAACAATAAGCAATATTAATTAGTACATATTATTTAAAATTCTATGTAAAAAATTATATATTAATAATAACAATAACAATAATAATAAATCAAACAATCCTCTAAAATGTATTTTTAAAAATCCTCTGTCAGGTAACATAATTACTTCCCAAGCCAGACAATCCACAGAGAGATATAATAGATAGGCCTACAGTATGTCTGGGGTTTTAAAGGTGCTGATTTTGCCCTTGAGCAAACATTACCCTATGAATCATCCTGAACATGGACACGCCCTGACCTATATATCGCCTAATTAATGAATAAGTGATCAAAGCTCTCCTGACACCAGCACAGCATGCCTGATGTACACCATTTCTCACGGGCAAGACCGGCTACACCCCACGCAGTAAAATCAGACAGAACTGTAATTAGCACACTGATCAAAGTGTTAATGACAGGCCGTAAGAAAGAACAATCACACATGAGATCGCTATAGTATTTCAGTTGTTTCTTTTAGACTGCAATGGGATTCAGCTGAGAGGAAAGTGAGACTTTTCATAAAGGGATAGTTCAATTTTCTGTCATTATTTACTCACCCTCAAGTTGTTCCAAACCTGTATGAGCTGTTGAGCACAAATGAAGATACTTGGTAACCAAACACGATGGTAGCCAAACTGATGTACACCATTTCTCACGGGCAAGACCGGCTACACCCCATGCAGTAAAATCAGACAGAACTGTAATTAGCACACTGATCAAAGTGTTAATGACAGGCCGTAAGAAAGAACAATCACACATGAGATCGCTATAGTATTTCAGTTGTTTCTTTTAGACTGCAATGGGATTCAGCTGAGAGGAAAGTGAGACTTTTCATAAAGGGATAGTTCAATTTTCTGTCATTATTTACTCACCCTCAAGTTGTTCCAAACCTGTATGAGCTGTTGAGCACAAATGAAGATACTTGGTAACCAAACACGATGGTAGCCATTGACTTCCATAGTATTTTTTTCCACACTATGGAAGTCAATGGTTACCGTCAAATGTTTGGTCACCAACATTCTTCAAAATCTTGTTTGTTTTTTTTCCCAGTAGAAGAAAGAAACTCATACAGGTTTGGATCAACATGAGGGTGAGTAAATAATGACATAAAAGTTAATTTTTGGTTAATTTAAGGCTCCTCTAGAAGTTCAGAAGATATATATATATATATATAGATACCAAATGTCAGAGATAGTACACACACACAAACATACATAAAATACACTGATGTATTTTTTTCCACACTATGGAAGTCAATGGTTACCGTCAAATGTTTGGTCACCAACATTCTTCAAAATCTTGTTTGTTTTTTTTCCCAGTAGAAGAAAGAAACTCATACAGGTTTGGATCAACATGAGGGTGAGTAAATAATGACAGTTTTTGGGTGAACTATCCCTTTAAGACTCCTCTATGCCATTAAGACAATTACCCCATTCAAGTGTATTATTTTTATAGTTTAATCAGTGAGATTAAAAGTGAGACCAAAAAAGAAAAATAAGGATGCACCAATTTGGACATTTTTGTCAGATATAAATGTTTCTTTTAGACTGTAATGGGATTCAGCTGAGAGGAAAGTGAGACTTTTCTTAAAGGGAAAGTTCCATTTTCTGTCATTATTTACTCACCCTCAAGTTGTTCTAAACCTGTATGAGCTTCTTTCCTCTTTTGAGCACAAATGAAGATATTTTGAAAAATGTTGGTAACCAAACCGTTGACGGTAGCCATTGACTTCCACAGTACTTTTTTCCACACTATGGAAGTCAATGGCTACCGTCAACTGTTTGGTCACCAACATTTTTCAAAAGTTAATTTTTGGTTAATTTAAGGCTCCTCTAGAAGTTCAGAAGATATATATATATATATATAGATACCAAATGTCAGAGATCTCAATATGAATATGAATTCTGAGTGATTCGATCCACCTAAATGTTTAGTATGACACCCACCCACTATTCACAATCTAATCAATGGATAAATTACATAAAAAATTACATTAAGAGGTAAATTGGACTGCATTTCAAAAGATCAACCTCCAATCAATAGTTTTCCTAGAAGAAGGCTCTGCTTTGCTTCTCATACATTTTATGGTGAAAGGACATGAGAAGATAAGAGTATTTGGACCTTATTATGGGAACAGAAAAGAAGTCTGAGGTTAAAAGACATGGTGCTTCTGACCGCTGCAGAAGTGGCCCACCGCTGTTCCTTATTAGCAGTCGCCAAACGTGAAATCAGGAGAAAGTGAAGACCAAACTGCAAATCTTTCAGGGTCAAATGACTGTGTCCCAGGTATCAGGTCTACTGTGAGGGCCGTTCAGACCACGGCTCCCCTCTGACAGTCTGCTAATCACACAACATTTTCACAGAGCAAGCGAACAGGGAGGTCATTTAGTGCAAAAGAGACGTTTCTCCTCTAATTACTAGCGACTCTGTACATCTCACATTGCTGGGGATTGTACAAGTCTTTGAAGCATGTGCTGTCTTTCTTTCCTCTTTGTTATAATGACTAGGGCAATAAAGGTTTTTGAACTGCACACTATCATCCCGCTGGCAGAAATAACTAGCCAATTCGCTGCTTTGTTCGGACTCGCCTTTAAAGTTCTGCCTCCGTGAGGCCTATTAACACCTGTTTAAGAGTTTCTAAAGAGTTTGGTTGTTGAAAGCGGCAGAAGGTTTAGGGATCGTAGATTGTAATTAAATGATCGATTAGACTGGGAAAATACTGGACCGGATTCCTACATCATGCCATGTTGGACAGCATCCTGACAGAAAGCATTCATGCAGCTGAAAGACGCACACTACCTCCGGCTAACTTAATGAGTTGTGGGTTTCAGCGCTCCCATTTTTCCTCATTATGTCATTCACACAATTCAAACAGACAATCCATTCAAGCGTATTATTTTGCATGAGTTTAATCAAAGTGAGACCCAAAAAGAAAAATAAGGATGCACCAATTTGGACTTTTTTGTCGGATAAAACAAAAACAAAACAAAAAACTATAGGGTACTTTGTCTTTTTTTCAATTTGTTTTTTTTCTTTAGAAATACACATTTAAATAAACACATAATATTATCATAATTTACAGCTTTCAAAAGTTTGGGGTCAGTAAGATTAATCAAAAATACAGGAAAAACACTAAATGAAATGTTATTACATACTATTATTAAAATAACTGTTTTCTATTTTAATATTTTAAATAGTTTGAATATTTGTAAAAATATTTTAAAATGTAAATTACTACTGAAATATATATCTTTATTGTAGTGCTGCACATTATAAATGTATTGTCACTTTTGATCAATTTATGCAGCCTGGCTGAATAAACGAATTAATTTCTTAAAATAAATCTTACTGACCCCAAACTTTTGAATGTTAGTGTAAATATTCTATTAGAATTATTCAAAAGACAACATTTTCAATATTGTAGTGTCTGCACTTCTAAACAATAAATCCCACTATTTACCAATAGTGGAAAAACATAAGAACAGTATAATTGTGATTGTGAATATTACAATTAAAAATGAATGTGACAGTAAAACACACACACACACACACACACACACTACAGACTTCAGAAGTTAAGGTAACTTAAAAGCATTCTATTTTTACAACAAAACTCTTTCACAGATCAATCTGTTTTATTATGTATTACCTAAGACACAGCCAAGATCCAAATGAATCTTTAAAATTAAGAAAATTTACCAGCCGTGAAACCATATTTTGCATCATTTTTATTAAATATATACTTGATAATGAAATATTTTGCTGTCTTGTTTCTTCTACTCTACAAACTGCGCTGATCACTCCACTGTAAAAAAAAAAAAAATTTAATTAAAAAAATTAAACATTACTGGAGTAAGTTTTACGAGGCAATACTATTACACTTTTTCTACTTCAAAATGTCTTGTTTAATTCAATGTGCTACTTGCCGTTTCTTTATAATTGTTTATGAAATTTATTAGCAATTTCTGTGTTTTTTTTTTTCAGATTATGTAACTCGCAGCATACATAAAATACTACCTCTTACCAAATATTTATAAACTTGTTTTGGTGATTTAATGTGAGCAATATATCACATAGGGCTGGACGATATGGCCAAAATTGATATCACGATATATTTCTTAATTAAGTCGATATGATATAATTCCGATATCGATATGAACACTATTTATCTGAAATAGAAATCGTTTGTAACATTATAAATGCCTTTATCATCACTTTTGATCAATTTTAAGCATCCTTGCTAAATAAAAGTATTAATATTGAAAAAAATTATATCGCGATACATATTGATATTGAATTATTGTCCAGCCGTAATATCACATACATTTCACACATTTTCAGATTTCATTGTGTTCACTCATTAGACTATGAGCAGTATGGCAAATACATCATTGGCTAAGGCATCACTAAAAACAAGAAAAGCTGGCATATTTAATTAGCAGTAATGTGGTGAGCAGAGGGAACTGCTTT